CGGCAACCATTTATATCTTGAGGCGGCTGACTGTCCCATCTTTATTTAATAATAATAATAATAATAATTGATGTTGTTCTAGTTTCCCCTTTTTTGGGCGCATCTAATCACTGTGCACACAGGTCCCCATTCGCCAGACCTTAACCCTATTGTTCCGATCGCATGCCCTAATATTGATATATCTCCTCCTCCGCCCAAGGCTTCTTCTGGATCTGCCCGGAATCATGCTCTTAAAATCTGGCCCCGCGGTACATAAATCCAGTTTCACACGAGGTCCAGGCAGGCATCTTGTCAGCTACTGCGTCTCCCATATCCAAATCCCAGGAACCCCCTGTTCACAAAATTTTCCTCTTTGCAGTCCCCACAACAACAACTGATCTAGCGGAGGATGACGGTTTTCGAATTCTGGGTACAATTTTTTTAATCTCGTCACAGCCCACCTGATTTTAATCACCGTTGTTCATGTGATTCAAATCCACAATCTGTTGATTTTCCGGCTGTGAATGAATTGCTAATGAAGATATCTGATGCATGTTCAAGGAAGCCTGCTGCACAGAAACTGATAAGTATTTTGTGGGTTCAAGGTGAAGGGAGATTGAGTTGTTCAGCGAGCACCCATGGATGTTCCATTTTTTGCAATGTGATTAGCAACTCTTTTCATGAAGATGAACTTTAGGGCCCGGGCACACGCAGCTCAGGATCCCATTAGCAAAAAGACCTACCAAGAACTTGGCACCTCTTGGTGATTTTGGGATTACATTTTTGTTTGTTTGTTTGTTTGTTTGTTTGTTTTTTTTTCCTGCAAAAAATAAAATAAAAAAGAGAGTTTGTGTATCTAAAACATTGCTTTCCTTGAGTTTGAATGAGGATTACCATCAATTTCTTTTTCTATTGCAGAGTGAATATTGCAAATGGAAAACATGTGAACATCAGTGGCAAATTCGTTACACAAGTGTTACTTAGTCCAATGTACTCACATGTGTTGTTCATTGCTGCACAAATTCATTGAAACTTTTTTAGTATTGAGCTTTGACAAAGTATATCCAGAAACAAATACATACATTGTTTCCTCATCCACTCATTCCCCAAGATGTAGAAGAAGCCACACACACCTGCACCTTGAGTAGCTTGTGAGCCTTCCTTTGAAGACTTCACCAAATGGGATACCATTAAATTTTCATGTGTTATCAAACACAAATTCTGTTCAAGATAAGTTTAATGAATGTCAACCAGAATTCAGACAAAGTCATAGAAAGCAAATGAAAAGTAAGTTATGTTTCAAACTGACCCCCCTCTCCCAAAAAAAGAGGAGGAAAGATGATAAAAAAAAGTAAATAGGACAACTGTCACAATCTCCTCACTTCCAGAGAAATTGAAATCACTTGCTCCCATTCATCATAAATGGGCCACTATCAAGCAATGAAAGCAGGCTCACACACCAACATGCTGTGGCCCCAATCAGTGACATGGACATGTGCTGGTTGGCTAAGCTTCCCATCCTAAAACCCAATGAGATAAAAAATAAAATAAAATAAATATATATATATATATATATATAATATAAAAAATACCTACAATGCCCAGCCTCCAAGGCAACATACAATACCTGTTTCCAGAAACACTTCCACCCCAAGTTCATTCCCCAGCTCAAACCTCTTGTACAAACTTGCCACTCGTCCTCACATCAAGAGATGGAAACATCCACAAAACCTGGGCAGTTGCCATTCATTGCCTTTGCAGTTGTTACTACCAGAAAGACTATGGAACTTTTGGGGGCACATGGATTAACCCTGATTAAAAACCTTGATATGGGTTTGAAGAATGTCTTTAATTGTCCCTTCGGAGGAGACTTGGGGAACTCAGAAAAGGGGGGGGGGAGTGGGTGATTAGGGAGCAAGATTAAGGATTATTAGGAGGCAAATGGGAAAGGGCCGGCTCCCTCGGAGTCTGGCTCGTTTGGGACCCACCAAAATATGGGGGGTGGGGTGGGGCCGGGTGGAGCTGGGGAGAGATCCCATGGCTCGGCTGATGTGGAGGCTGACGTGGTGGCTATCGTGGGTTCATTAGAGCCTTCCGTCTATATCCTGTCTCCTACGTCCCCATGTTTATTATTAGTACTAAAGTCACGGGGCCCACGGGGGTTCGAATCCCTTGTGAGATGCGTCAGGGGAGCAAAAGCCAAGGGGATGATTGGCAACTCTCTCATTGACTCTTCAAACTGTAAAAAAAACCTCACTCACGTATTTCGGTGCTCAAAATCCAAAATCAAGCTTAGGAATATTGGATCAGTAACGGTCCATTGCTAGAGCCACTGCATTCGGAATTTTGTTTGTGCATCTGTCTATTTTTATTTTTTGCATGCAGAAAGACCTTGTTAGAATATAGGAAACAGATATGGATGGACTTTTACCTTGTGAAGCATAGTCAGGTTGGAAGACTTCAAATTAAATAGTGACACACACACTCTCTCTCTCACACACACACACACTTACTCATCGCTTGGTTTGGCACACATTTAATCATCTTTGTTCCATTTAAAACTTCAATAATCATTGTAAGTAAATTAATAGATAGATGGACTGGTGGTTTTGTTGATCTAATATGATGTGTTAGAAAACAAACCTTTCCTTTGGATACCAGCATAGAGAACAATTTCTTGCAAACAAAAGAAAATGGTAGATTGAAATGAACTTAACATAGGTTTTAATGAAATCTATTGTTATGTTTTCAGTAACTATATTTAAAAAATTATTTTTACATGTTTTCCTCATTTTGAATATTTTTTTCACATGATTAATAAAGTATTATCAACATTTAAATGCAACTACATGACATATGTTTTTCATTTGAAGGTCTTATGCAGCTCATGGGCCAGGAGGGGGGGGGGGTTGTAAAATTTGTGGTGCAACAATATTTGTGAAAAATGAGAGTCAAAATGTCCTGATTAATCTTCTCAAATCCCACAATGAATAATTTCGACATCTCTATTTTCTTTCTTTTCCATAAAACATAATCTGATTGTATACATGCACACATACATAAATAAATGACATAATTCTCCTTGTCATGTGAATTTGAAAATTGAAAATCGGAATTAAAAAAATTCTTAAAAAAAAACTACTTTAACAAACAATACTAATAAAAGTGTCATCAAATCAATATAATAATTTCACATAAGTTTTCCTAATTTAGCATGACATGATACTAATTTGTGCATTGAGCAACATAAATATCTTTTATGATCTTTGTACTTGAATTTGAATACAAAATTATATAATCTTGGACTTCATTTTTCTTATTTTTCTTTTTATTTCTTTCCATTTTTGAATGATTTATTGTTGTTACTAATAGCATTACTACATGTACACATGTTTTTGTCATTACTTTCTGTTCACAAAACTTACAATGAGAGTTGAATAAGATTTGAATACAGATTAGAAAATGATGAAAATGGCATCAAATCTTTGTAGGATCACGTCAACTATTTTATAATTTTTATTATTACTCCATCATAATCATAATAAGTTTAATTGCTATCCAAAAAAATATACTTGGGATAGCTAATATCTCAAGCAAAGTTATTTTGCTATATTATATTGCACAAAAAGAATAATTTTACACACAAGTCCCAGCTAAGTTAACAGTAATGTCAGATATTATCCCAATTTGGAAAGACAATCGCAGTATTTACTTGTAAATACGTAATGGGTGGTGTGGGTTATTCTCAATAGTGCACAGAACTACATGTCATACAAAATATGCCCATTCTGTAGACCCTGAACCCTGGACTTTCCCCAAGAACAATTGAACACATTTTCCACAAAATTTGTTTAAGATGCAAAAAAGATCAGAACCCACCAATTTCACATGTGGTTCACAGAAATTGCACCATTCCTTTTTGAGCCAACTGTGGGGAGCTGAGCCATGAGGGTACTATTTCTCTGTATTTAGCTACATTGCATGATTCAGACAGTGTAATCCCAAACAACTGGACCCATGTACCCATTTCCTTAATAGATTATGATTTAGCCCCCTTCCCCCATACATGCATTGTTTGTTTTTAATGTCTATTTTTTGAACTATTAAATATCACAGTTCAAGAATCTAGGTTTGTACAAAGCTGGTTATGCCCTTTAAATGGTCCACTGTAGCATGTGATGGAGTTGAAATAGAAAAAAGAAGTAGTGCTGTGACTGGGAATGCTTAAGGGGAAGAAAAGGAGGTATGAGTTGGACAAAGGGAAGTTAATGTGGTGGTGGGGAAGAAAGAGAGGGGACTTCAAACAGTGCACTTAAAAGACAAAACGGGGATTTAAAAATTCAGAGTCAGATATTTCTTGGTTTCCTATAGAGTATAATTGGAAGGTGGGTAGATGGGGTGAATGATCTACTTTTTTTTAGTACTCATGCATTTTCTTTCGAAGAAATTATTCCCACAAAACTGTTCTTAAAAAAATAAAAAATAAAAAAAATCATGAAGAATACAGGAATAAAGTTTAATACAGAAATATAAACATGGCTTAGGTGAAAAGGTCCCACAACTTCAACACAGAGAGAGAGAGAGAGAGAGAGATAGATACCCCCAGTTCCTGGGTTTGACGGACACTATGCCCCGCTTCTTCATCCCACGTATGCTTCCGTCCACGGTCTGTTCGTTTCGGGCAGGGTTTCGGGGCAAACAAAATGTCGGGCAAGGGCAGCACCACCGAAAGGAGGGGGCAGCCCCAACGACGGAAACAACGCCGTGGCGAAGGTTGCGGGGCGAAGAAGAGTGGGGGACTCATGGGAGACGTGGTAAAAATAGCTTAAGGTGGAAAAGGACTAGGGTATGGAGGCGATGGTGAACTATTTGGAAAAGCGAGAAGTGAGTTCTAAGGAAACGTAGCCGGCAGGCAGCAGCAGGGTGGTGATGGCAGGCAGGCAGGCAGGCAATGCAGGGACCAGGGAGGGCGAAAGTGGACGGGACGGGGGATGGATGGAGGGGACAGGCAAAGAGGGGGGTCCCAGAAGGTGGAGTCATTCACTCTTCTGCTCCTCCTCTTCCTCCTCCCATGTCTCCTTCTCCTCTAATTGCCTCAATTCCATTCTAACCTCGCCTCAGATTTTGCGGGTTCCAACTTGTGCTCCTGAATCCAGGCACCTACCAGCACGCAATCGCCCAACCAACCAACCAACCATCAAAGCAGCACTGCGTCTAGTAACGCTTAAGTTAGAGAGACAGACGGGACGGGAATCATTTTTGTGTATCAGCAAAAGCATTGCTCCTCTTCACGGTCGTGGAGTGACTGTAAGGGAAAGGAGGAAAGCGAATAGAAAAGGACAGACATCAAGGTTTGGGTTTTCTTCTTGCAGGTGGGTTCGGTTTTTTCTAGAGCGGATGTTTCCGAGAGAGAGAGAGAGAGAGAGAGAGAGTTCTAAAGTCATATATATTGTGCTGCTGGTAGCTAGAGATGAGAGTAGGTTGTGATGACGTGACGAGGGGCATGAAGAATGTGTGTGGATGGTGGGCGGCGAGTTTCGTAGGGGATGTGGGAGTGGAAGAAGTATCGGTGAGGAGAGCACAGGAGATGAGGTGCTTACATCGGAGAGGAGAACGAAGGGAGGGTTTGTGGAGGTTGGAGGGTGCGGAATTTGTCTGTCGGAGGAAGTTGCATTCGGAGACGAGTAGTAGGCTACTTTCAGTATCTTGTGTTGTTCACCGGGGTTTGAATGAGGGTGCGCTGCATCCAGGAACTGGTGCATATGTGGTGGTGCATGTGTTCTAGGCCAGGTACATGCGCTAGAGAATGCATCGCAATACCTGTGACCACTGGAACGGCTAGGCTCGAGCATCGGTAGCAGTTCATGTGCATTTTCAATCGCCGAGCTTGTTTGACTTTGTGGCTGCGATACTTGCAGATTTTCTGCTGTGTGTGTGTACTGATAGTGAACTGTAATCGATTAGCTTCGTGCCTGAGAGGATTTTGTGCTATCCTGACGGTGATGACGCGTTAGGATCCGAAGTGTCGTGTTTTCTGGTGATGATGTCATCGTTAGTGTCGTTTGGGCTCTCGATAACGTCTCGAAGTACGTAGAAGTGTACAGGTGCAAGGTGTTTACCGCTTTACTCGGTTTTGTACAATCGAAGGTCTTGCTTATCTTCGGATTCATACTCGACAGGATTTGTTTGAGGTGAAATCGCCTGAATACGCTCACGCCTCGATGTAGCTGCTCTATCGTCTAACTCTCATCAGCGTACTTGCTGAAGGAAATGGGACTCGTTGCGATTTTTAAAATTCTTTTTACTCCTTAAACAGCTCAATTCAGTGCATCACAACCTAATCGATCTACGAAAGCCACTGCACGTAAAGTTTGCGACTGAGATAGAGTGCTCGAACTCATGCGAGATGTATTTGTTTTCTTCTACGCGGAGGGTTTTGACTTGATCTATGGGCAAATTGAACTTATGTGACTGTTGTAGTTGTGCTTGCTCACAAATAACTGGTTTTCAAAGCCGCCTCAATTGTTTGGTTACGAGACGTCAGTACGGGTGCCGAACTTCAGATTATATATCTCGAGTTTGCGATGGCCTTTCTGCAGGTTAAGAGCAAGATAAGAGAAACTGACTCTAGAAGGATGTGCGTAGGACACGAGCAAGTGTAAGAAGCTTCAGGAGTGGCTACAACGGCAAGCAAAGATGTATGGTTACGGGGGTGGTATGATGAGAGGCCCAATAAAGAACCAAGGACTGTCTAAAATGGACGAGCTAGATTATGAGTTATGGCACGCGTGTGCTGGGCCTCTCACGTCCGTGCCTCCAGTGGATAGCCTTGTGATGTACTGGCCACAGGGGCATATTGAGCAGGTGTGTGTGTATCTGCAGTCCCCTCTCTCATCGTGGAGATGATCCTTATGTCCTCTGTTAGCTACCACAGGGCTTGGCCGCCTGTTCAGGAACAGGCATGTGAGTTAGACTTCCGTTTTCTTTAGGCTTTCGACGGTGGCAAATTTTGGTTAATTTTGGTCATGCTTTACTCCAGTATTAACGATGCCAAATACTGTACTGTCAGGTGATTGCATGTACACCAGATTCAGCAGGCGCTGCTGATGTTCGTGAGGCGTCTAGTCATTTCAAGCTACCTTCTCATCTGCTTTGCAAGATAGGTCAACTTGAGCTTCAAGTAAGTGACATGTCACTGACTTTGACACATGTTGTGTTCGGTGTTGTGCGTCGCAATTGGCATGGTATAGATAAATTACTCAAATGTTGTAGATACTGATCCTTATCTTATGTTCTGAACAATATATGTGAAACTAAAAGTAGTTTTCGTTTGTAATCAACAGGCGGATCCCCATACCGATGAGGTCTTTGCGCAGATGGACCTTCTCCCTCAAGACGAGGTTCGTTTATCTAAAAAGTAACCCGATTTTCACGTCGTTATGATGCGTGATCTCTGCGTAGCCTCACTATTCCCATATTTGTCAACTTGTAACGGTGCGCGTGTGTCTTTGTAGGGTTCGTTAACAAAAGAGATGAAAGATGCCACACATGTAGCGAAGCAGAACAACGTTAAGATGTTCTGCAAGACTCTAACAGCTAGTGACACAAGTACACATGGAGGATTTTCGGTTCCAAGGAGATCGGCTGAAGACTGTCTGCCTTCACTTGTGAGTGCGCTATCTCTGATATTCAACCAAAGAATTGCTGATGTAAAATCATGTGGTGGTCGATGGGACGTGTCGAGGATGGCTGGTATCTCACGCTTACAAAGAGCGTTTGCTTCTTGTTAGATTTCTTTGTGTGCGTAGCTTTGGTTTACATTTAGAAGTCCATGATGCTAGTCTTGACATTTCGCTGCTTTTGGAGAGGATTTCTTGTGTGCTGAATGTGTACATGTGATTGTTTTATTGCGGTTATCAGGACTACACTGCAAATCCTCCATGTCAAGAGTTGGTAGCAAAAGACCTGCACGGACACGAGTGGAAGTTTCGACACATCTATCGAGGTATGTCGATGACTACACTATTTGCTTCTTATTTATTAGGGTTTTTGGTTGTTATGAACTGCTAACCTTTTAAAGCAAATTTAGTGGTACCTCAGTTTGAGAGAAATGGCGGAGAAGTTTTTTCAATGTGGTTTTTCTTCATGCAGGTCATCCTCGCAGGCACTTGCTCACAACAGGCTGGAGTGCCTTCGTCTCCGCAAAGAAGTTGGTTGCCGGGGACACTGTTATATTCCTTCGGTATGCTCTTTGTTAATGCCTCACATTGCGCTAACTTTTACCAACGCTCCTTTTGAGGATGGATGATGAGTATGGAATCTTCATTGGACTAGATAAAATATAGATCAGTTAGTGTCGTTTTGCATGGTGTCTTGCATGTATCAGGCCGATTCTAGTGCATAATATTTCTCGTAACGTTCATCTGGAATGGTGCTGTTATTCTGGGCTCTAACTCTGGTACAATTTATCAGTGGAGAAAACGGTCAGCTCAGAGTAGGAGTACGAAGGGCATCGAAGCAGCAACCCCAAGCACGTTCTACCAATTTCTCGAGCACCAATCTGCATCTCGGAGTTCTAGCAGCTGCTTCGCATGCCTCTCGTGAAGGCATGCGATTCAGCGTCATCTATAATCCGAGGTAAGGCGGACTATTAGGAATTATGATATGAAGCATGCACTCTAGTTGTTCGGTGATGATGACGTGGAGTAGAAGACGATTGTGCGCGTGTTCTTGGATCCTTGGTTATTGCTCTTCATATATTGTTATAGCCACTGATTCATGTTATACAGAGTTCAGCCTATTCTCGAATTGTTTGCAGTTGCTTCTTCCTCTTCTTCTTCAAACAGCTGTTGAAGGGTAAGTGTTGTATTGAATGTGTGCAGAACAAGTCCGTCGGAGTTCGTGATACCTTATAACAAGTTTTTGAAGGCCATGGATAACAAACTTGCAGTTGGATCTCGATTCAGGATGAAATTTGAATCAGAGGAATCCTCTGAGCGAAGGTTTTATGCTTTCCTACTCTTATTGCTGGTTGGTTCAACTGTTTTAAAGTTTGTTTCTTTTATCGAATACGCTGAATGGACTGATTGCGGCAACGTTGTTTGCACTCGCTCAGGTTCGCAGGTACCATAACTGAAGTAAGTGACGCAGATCCAGTTAGATGGCCTAATTCCTTATGGAGGTCAATGAAAGTTGAATGGGACGAAGTTATTTCAGCTAGTGAAAGGCACGAAAGGGTATCACCATGGGAGATCGAGCCCTTTGTGCAGATCTCGACTTTGCCCCCTCCTCAACTGGGGCCACGGCAGAAGCGCCGCCTACCTACTCTTGTGAAAGAATCCCCCTTGGGTACCTACTTTGTAACTGGACTTATGTGTGTGCGTCCTCATGTTTGGGATGCTTGATCTTACCACACATCTATATTTTGCGTATATTCCTGTGTCAACCTAAGACGGGCTGTGGCGTTTATACTTATGTCCTTGTAATTTGATGCTATTAGACGTTAAACACAGTCTTTTGGTCTTGTGGTGTGCAGGAACCAGTCAAAGTGTGTTGGATTCTTACCAGTCGAACAAATTGGCTAAGATCCTACAGGGTTTTGACCCCCGCAATGAGTCAAGTATGGAAGATGACGAGGATGGAGATGTAGCATGTTCCGGAAATACCTCGTGGAATGTGAAGCCTGAGCCACCGCCAAAGGGTCTACCACAGGCAGAGATCGTACAACAGAGTTGGTTCCCACGTCCAGACATATCATCGTATGGGATTCCCGGTGACCCTTATCAGCCCCTTATCAGCCCCAGAGTGTCATCTGTCACGTCGTTTGCACCTCCTCTGGCTGCAGAGAGTATGGATCTGCAGCTCTCTGTTAAATCTGCGAGATCGGAGCAAGCTCCCAGCAAAGACTATTCAAGTGCGCCCTGGTCAGACTTCAGTGGGATTTGTCCTAGCAATCGGACGGGTGCCTCTTTCCCTGTTCGGGAGTCTCCTTGTCCCTCGATTAATCCAAGTTGGCTTTATTCTGCATCCACATCCCGCGCCGTTTTTGAGAGAAGCATTTTGACCAACTCGCTTCACAGTGAGTCTGCACCAGAAATGTTACCCCCACAGGCAGTACCGGCTTTTGAAGTGCGAGATAAAGCACAATTGGAGAAAGTTGATACAACTCCGGGATTGGTGCAGCCGTGCAAGTTGTTTGGGTTTAATTTGGCTGACAAAATAGTACCTACTCTTGCCCCATTACCGCCTAGTCAAGGTGACGTGTCAGAAGGATTAGTCGATTCTATTAGGACTGATTCTACATCGCCCACGTCTGGAGGACCTTTTGGAAGCAAGGTTGCAGCCGAAAGTTCCCAAGTTTCCCAGGCCCATGCTGCTCCAATGAGGAGTGGTATCAAGGTGCGATGGAGGCTTGAAGCTCGTCTATTTCTGTTTTCGTGTTTGTCTTCTTCTCGAAGGCAGGTTGTAATATCTCAAATCTGGTTTAGTTTGTACGAATTCTCGCTTAGCATTTCAGGAATTTCTGAGACTGGAGATATTGATTCGCAGGTGTATCAACAAGGAAAAGTCGGTCGCACTATCGATTTAAGGAAGTGCGAAAGCTACGATGGCCTGAGGCGAGTGCTGGCAAATCTGTTTAACCTTCAAGGGCAGCTGGATGATGTCACGAAGGGCTGGCAGCTTGTTTACACGGACCACGAGAATGATGTTCTTCTCGTTGGGGACGATCCTTGGGAGTACGTTCCTCATATATTTATGTAGTCCATATAGTTTTTGTTTGTTCTGAAGCTTTTTGAGCGCGAGTTCTTATCAGCTTGCTTTTTGTGAAGGCCGATTAGATTTGTAGAATGGCCATCTTACTATATGGTTTGTTCCTCCTGACAGGGAGTTCTGCGGTTGTGTTCGGAGTCTGAAGATCCTGTCTCCTCAAGACGCTGCAGGCCAGACAGTGGGGAGAATCCCTGCAAGCAGCTGCGAGGAAGACGATGAATGGCACTGAGAATTAGTAGCCTATGGAGGTTTTAATGGAAGTCTAAGCGATTGCGGCACAACTGTTCATATTGTTGTCCTTTTTGAGATTTTGATTGCACCCTCTGAATTCACAGCTGGTGGCTAGGGATGGAGGCGTTTTCTCCGCTTCAGGAGAGTTTTGGACTTGCAGAGCCTCTTCCTTGTACAGAATCCAGTATATATGGTGATGTTATACCGACGAAAGTAGGATTATATACATCGGCAGACATATTTGCGGTTATTTATAGAGCTCGCAAGAGATGAAAGTCGAACTGGTGGGCATCTTTAGAGTGGTGGTCTCTCCACATGAATTATGAAATGTGTTCCTTGGGGAATGCTTTCGCTTTTTTATCTTCGTAGAATGTACATTTGGCTAGTCCCTTTGGCACTAGCTCATTGTATGTTGCATGAGTACGTTTAGGCTAGAGATGGCTTAGATTTTGGACGAGATAATGCCTAAAGTCATCTAATGCAACCATTTGAACCAGGTCTTGTCTCATTTACTTAGTGGATATAGAACTGCACACCGCAATTTATGATTTTGGAATCATTTAAATTATATTAGAGTTGTAAGTCTGTTGCAAATCCACACATTCCCTTCACAGTAAAGATTTTTTTTAATTACTTTGTTACGACAACCATCATGAAGCGTCTGTAAAAGGCTCGTTAGCTGAAATCGGCGGAACTTGAGTAAATCCCATTCAGTTGCGTCAGTGGTGTTCTTTGAAGGGTAAATTCCGCGCTTAAAGAGTTCAGAGCAATGTGATTCATCTAGACGGGTTAAAACACACTTGTGCTGCAGGTTGTGTTGTTCGGCTGGACTAACTCATGGCCGCATGCAGATCGCAAGGCTTGCGATTCTTGCTGTTGCAATGATGTTGGGCAGCGTTGAGGAATTGCACCGAACTGTAATTAGACTGCAGTAATTTACATGGTTTTTCAACACAATTTGAGTCACTATTTAGAAGTGGATTACATCATGGAACCAGCAACTACTGGAATCAAAATTCTAGTTGGTACCAAATGATCCATGACTGAAATCTATACGATTGTTTAAAATCCTTAGTTGTGTCCCACAGTAGGAATTGAGTATTCTCAGGAATCCTTTTGTTAGCTATTGCGTACTGTGAAAAGCATGGCTACAAATCAAGTCTTGTCTGGAAATTATTCAAATGCTCAAGATGCAGTTTAATCTCTGATTGCAGTGTGGCTGCAGTTGATTATTAGTGCACATCTTGGGGTTTGGGGTTGCTAATGAACATTGATTGTTTACAGTACATGTTGCTCATAAAATATGTAAATTATGACTGATAAGATTGGGTGTTGTTATACATGCTTGGAATCAGGATTATTGTTAATACCTTCTTGACTGTCAGGTCTCTGGAAGAATATGCCTACAAATCAAGCCGTAGGTAATACAAAGGATTATAACCAATATTCAGACCTGAATGAAACTGATATGCAAGGTGGTCAGGAGCCACTCAAGGTATTTGCTGAGTTATTTGAACCCTTCGTCATTCTTGAGTTCAATGTTGGGTCTTTTTAAATCCAAGTGCTCCTACAAGCACAGTGTTTTCTGTATGTAAATGTATATCGACTTTTAACAAATCACAAAATCAACTATTAGTGAACACCAAGTGCATTGGTACGTTCTACCATAGCACATTTGTAACACTGTAGATTCCTCATTCATATGTCCCTTTGTACATGTCTAAGCTTTCTCCGAACTATGTATACATAAAACTAGAGCATACTCTGAAAACTACACTCGCAGGACATCTGCAGAATGAGTGTATACATGAAATAGGAACCAAGTAGAACGTCAAGTTGGAGGTGAGTGACAGACTGCAGTTCATGAAATCCAGTGTCAATTGAAAATGCACTAGGGTGAACCGCTTGAAAGAGGCAACAGCAGTTCTATTCACAGATTTGTGGTTTGAATGAGAATGTGGTATGTACAGATTGTCTTCGAAGAATCTCGGGAACTGAAGAAAAGTGTAGCTTATCTAAACTGCATCTAAAATGCGTAACATTACACATACTAGTCTACTGAGAAACATTATGTTACTTTGGCTTGCAGAAGTAATTTTAATTTTTTAACATAGAGCTTCCCTTAAAATGGAACACTATGAGGGACGACGATAACTCGATTATATGGTTAAGTGGTCCCCAGAAATTTATTTGAGAGTAATCAAACTGTAACAAATCTCCGTGGAATTGGTCTTAGATCTCCTTGTGTCTTCTTCACCCATCTCAACACAGGCGCGATTGTTGACGAGCTTGTAAAAATCCTGCACAGTACTCATCGCAAACCAGTTTAGCCTAGGTCCAGTATTTTATGGCTATCAAAGCGCTGAATGGTCACAAAAACCGGCTCTTATGTTGGTGAGAAAAGGCTGACCTGTTCTTAGCATCATAGTACTTCAGTGTTTTGCCCTCCTTGTAACTGGCGTCTATCAGAGCATTGCTTCCTTTCAATTCAGAAGGGTAGCCAGGCCTTCGCAAATACTCTGCTCTCAAAGCTTCCAAAATCTGGTCCTGAATGTGGACACAAGCAATGTCCATCATAAACCAGCGCAACCACTTCAAAACTTTACGGGCCTTGAGTATTAAATAACCAATCACCGTAGTGCCAAGCGATCATAAGCTTACCGTTGGCTGGGATGCATCGATCCAGTGGAACTGCTTCACGGCACTGTCGTGACTGCTTCGGAACCATCTTAGTTGCTTCTTCACCAGGCTTCTGCAGAAACAAAATAAACCACATGTATTAGCGAATGTCTGAATACTTTGTAGAAGTGGATCAGCTTGGTTAAGCCAGTTCTATCAAAGCTTGAAATGACTACTCTGAGCCTATTCCCACCTTGAAACATGCTGAAATCCGGAAAGAAAGGCCAGGAACTTCTCCTCAGTGGTAATTCCCCCAGTACCTCGACATTCCACCAGAAACTCCATCGCCTGTTTCATCACAACCATCCACTAAACTACTTGTAAAGATTGTTTTCGGCAATAATTTATGATCAACTCCCATTCCAGTTTATCACTGATCTCTAACTTATTAGAATCTAAATTTGCCTCAAATGCAAATATTTCAAAGGTTTCACTTCATGAAAGCAGAGAAATTCAAAAGCACACAATCTATTTGAAGAATTTATTCATTACAAGGATCAGAATGATGAGTGACGCTTACTTCTTGGTAGCCGATTCCACGCGATGCTGAACTAGTGTTAGGCAACAGTCCGAGATCGAGGAGCCACGATGCTTCTTGTAACAAACCCTGGGGTTCTGCGATCAACCAATCAAACACTGAACCTAACCTGACTAATCCACCATAAACCGGTCGAGTTAATTCTCAGAAAACATGAAGTAACGAGCTGTAGCGAAGTCAGTAGAGGTGACGATTCCAGCGGATGAACAAACCTGCAATCATCTGCTCGCAGCGGAGATCGATCCAACGGTAAAGTTCCGCACGATTCTGATACAAGAAGTAGCACTGGAAATCGTAGTCGTAGTCCCACTCCGGAATGTCCATGTTGTCGAGCGTGTAATTGTGGGGCTTGGTAGAGACCCCTCCAGACTGCCCAGAGATCTGAACTTTCATGCACTGATCAGACTGCCAGCCAACAGTTTGTGTTTCCTGAGCCAGGGGAACAACGTGGATGATCGGAGAGTGATGAGAAGATAGTTACCAGGATTCCCTCGAGAGCTCGGCGCAGGCGGGGCCAATCGTTTCGACATAAGCTGTACGCAGTGGCGGGATCACCAGCTTGCGCAAGTGTGTGCACGGCAAACTCCCAGTCCCCCGGGCGGTCGACCAAGCGTTCAATTCTCTCTTTGTTGGCTGCATTAGACTTTGGAGAAGGTTTCGGCGCTCTAGCCTCTCCGTTCATATACCTGGTTCATTGGTAACTGGCAAGGTTAGGATGGGAGTCATTTAGCGAGGTTGATCAGTAAAGAATATTGAACATCAGTAACAGCAATCCTGAAATGGTTGAGGTGCGAGGTGATGGTGTGCGCTGATCTGCTTACCAGTGCAGGTAAGTGCATGTGCCGCCCACTACAATGGGGACGTGTCCACTATCGAGCACCATCTTCGTGGCAGCTCTAGCGTCTTTTAGGAATCGACTGGCTGAGTATTCTGTCCCTATGAGCAAAGAGATACAGATGAGCCATCACATTTACACTAATTCTTCGAGTTTGCAGACTATGACATTTGTTACTGCAGCCTGGAAATGGTTGCGAGTTACATAGGTCAAGGGTAGTTTAAACATTGATTTGCGACCTGCAACCTCGCGGAATGTGCAGTGGACAAACTTCGGTCACAAACCTTCCATAGGAGAAATCATGTCAAGCAGGTGGTGGGGGACTCCCTGCACAACATCGCCGACGAAAACCACAATTATCGACAGTTAGGCGGTCATAGGGAACGTCTCAGGCTCTTTGCCTCGATCTAAAGTTGATCATCTTTGGCCCAGAAAAGTAATCCAAAAATCGTCAGATGCAGAATAGTAAAGGGAAATTGATAGAGAGAGTGCAATATGATTTCGAGCGGAGACCAACCTCACGCTCCAGCAGTGGCGTCTTGGCACTTCCGACGTTCATACCTTTGTAAACCTGTAATCCAGTGAAAAACCAATATTTACATTGGAGAAAACCGCGCTGGAAGGAGTCTATCTGTTCTAACTCAGCATGCAATTTCCCCTAGGAGATGAAGATCCTCAGGATTAGGTGGGAGATCAAGACATCAAATTTGCCAAGAGTACACATTTTTATTCGGAACAGAAAGGGGACAGGCTGTTGTTGTTTAACTTGAACACTTTTAGTGTGATCTCATGGATGTCAGTCCAATTTGGATTCTGGAGGTCACTGCGCAGCCTTAGAACTACAAATAGAGGCATCAAAAATATCTGAGGTATCCAGCGGAGTCCGGTATTGATATTCGTGAAAATTAGCCGACCAACTTTAAGGCTCAAGGTGCAAGAACGGCGCAAATATACTATGATTGCTCAGAACAAAATAAAGACTGCTCTATGGGTTTCGACGTGAAGAAGCCACACCAAAATGGCCGCCAGGAGTCAGTCGGATCAGCAAAACAGCCAAAGTAGCGACAATCCTCCTAGAGAAATATACCCACAATGCAATGAATCTGTAGTTTTTGCATCACCACGAGCTTGCTCACAAAAATGAGCACCTGCATCGTACGAAATGAGAAACCTCCCGTGTAAATGAGCAGGAGAAACCCCTCCTCCCCTCCCTGAGTAAAAAATCCCCTAGCTTCGGCCTTTCAGACTATTTACCAGCAACTATATTCTACTACAGCTGTCTGCGACGATGACAACGACGAAGACGACGACGACCTGTAGAGCAACAATGAAAGCAGGTCGGACCTGTATCGAGTCAGCACTGATGATTTCCCCACGGAGCTGCTTGGCCAATGCAATAGCGACGCGCGACTTGCCGACGGCGGTCGGACCCGCAATGACCACCACGCGACCTCTTTGCGTCCCTAAGCTGGTTACTTTGCCATTGGACCTGGTGTCCAGTCTCCCGGACAGTTCTAAACACCCGAGCGTCCCCGCCGCTCCTCCAGCTTCTGTCAACAATCTCACCTGCTTATCACTTTTCTCAACTGTCACATTCGCGCGCACCACCAGTCTCACCTTCTTCTTGACCATACTCTCTACCCCAATCCGCTCCCTGCAACTCCACCACTCCTCCCAGCGTTTCCGCTCATTGTTTCCCTGCGCCACCAATTCCCAACCTCTACTGCACATGAAAGGACATGCTCTTGAAGTCCGCATGTAGCTACCTACTTCCCCACAACTCTAAATCCTCAGTACTCTCCCGATCGATTCCTTCTTAAATTACCTCGTCCACTTCACTTCGACTGTACCTCACAGAGATTGCAGTTCTCAACGAAGGTTGCAAATCTTTCTTATTCCCTCGGGCTCTCTCACATTTCTCTCGCTTCACTATCTTATCACAAACAACGTACCAACAGTAGGACTGTGATACGTGACAGCACTGCACCAAACTACGGAGCCGAGAATTCTGCTGCAGAAATAATTCGAGATGTGAAAGCGAGGTCTGAATGCACTTCGCGCATGTGCTGTTGTTGTTGTTGCTACTGAAACACAGTCATGAATGTGTTGCAAAAGAGCTTCGCTTTTGTCCTCTCCCTCCTCCTCGTTTCGTGCCGCCTGTTGCTAGATAGTCCTTCTAGAATCAATACGGAAGTGAACAGTACCTACGCTCCGCGCTGCCTACCTGCACATCGCTGCAACCAGGCTCTGAGTACGTCGCAGCTTTCTACTTGGAACTCGCAGCAGCCCAGTGTGTTGAGTCACTGATTCCCTGAGCATGCTCTTCCTGCCCCCTTTCCCAGACCCAGCCCCTCACGCCCTTACTATGTGTTATCAATATCTCACTACTTTATATCGAGTTAGGTGACTGAATTTTAGAAAATCTCGTAGCAATCCCAACCCATAAGTCTTGAGACCGAATTTGTCAAACCTTGGGGTGGCTAGTATCTTAAAATCAAGTTCGTTGTGATTTTTTTCTGCTTGAGAGGTTTGCTCGAAGTAGCTCTATCCTAGAGCAAGGTAGACTTCGGAGTTTGACGGAGTGGGTTCTCATTGGCACGAGGCACGCAAGTAACAAGTGGAGGAAAGAGTGGAAGATGGTCCATATCTTTAGAGCGTCTGCTGAGAACAGCTTGCTTCATATCTCTGAGTGTTACATCATGCTTTCTGTGGACGTTGTCTCTCTACATGAGACTGCAGTTAATATAAACACCAGAGAATAGTACAAAAACATTAAAAAAAAACTTAAAAGAATTGTTCTCTTCATTACAGGCTTCGATTGTCTGCTTTCGGCGGCTAGTTATGTTAAGCTGCACAATGATGAGAGGAAAAAGAGGGTAAAAGTGGAAAAAAAAGACAACAACCTGAATCCAATATTAGCAATTTATGAAAATTCCACCTCCCTGAAACCAAGAATGTCATGAACTCACCCATCGCCACTGTAGATATCATTTAGGACAGACACTGAGCGAATAGAGAGAGGGAGAGAGAAAGGAATGAGGAATGTTCTCACCTTTCCAATGAGCTTGTTGAAAATGCTGCTGACTTGGATTTCCCAGTAGATTTCAAACTGGCTCCTCCCTGCAGCTCCTGTTATCATTTCAGCACCACGTTAGATGCACATATCTTATTGTTTGCTGGGTGAATCCAATTTAAGGGATTCAGGTATGCCCTCTCTGCTTTTGGGGCTTTTTGAAACGACTTTGAATGACTACGCTTTGTCTGGGATCCAGTATCTCTCTTTTCTCGAATATCAATTCCAAAAGTCTGTTGGTCTCTATTGTATACAAATACATAAGAAAATGTCTTGTCAACCTGCAGTCTTGTGAGGTTTTGATGGCGGTTCTGTTGCTCTTCTGCTTCCACGGCAGCTTCACTCCCAACACTTTTGATTTGTGATTGCAGGGATGGAGGTCCACTACTACAATAATACATAAATGTGAATATATATATATATATATATATAGATAGATAGATAGATAGATATACACACATATATCTACACACTCGCATTCATTCATTCACTCACATGGCCTTCAGTTATTGGAGTGTTGCGGATGTGGATTGAACTCAGTTTGTGACCAATTGGTGCAAACTCTGTATGCTTATATGATTGGCTGTGGGCCATGCACCATCATTAGTGTTTGGAAGAAAAGAAAAGGCAGTGAGGAGGGGCGGAAATTTTAATAAAATATTAAGCTTATATTTTGGTTTTGAGAATAAAAAGGTAGTTGAAATTATGGTGATTCTTGGTGTGAAGAGTGGAGGTATCGGACATAACATTTTGTAGAGTTTGTCTTCAAGCTAGTTTTTGGTTAATTTTGATTTTAGCTTAAAAAGATGTATGTAATGAGCATCAATTGTTGGTACCATGTACACATCATTTTCTAATATATATACACACAGAACACTTGGTATGTAAAATGTGTATTACTTTCAATGAAACAATAGCTTCTAATCTATGTTTCTATGTTGCATGAAAATTTGAGACTAATGATAAATTAAACCATTCATTTTTTCTTTTACAAATTAAGAACTAAATCACAGTTTTTTAAAACTATTTAATTATTTTTTTTAAACTTGTTCTTGTTTTAGGCTGAAGTCAAATTTAAAATTACATTAAAAGCCTTTTCTTAAATATATTTATGAGTTTTTTACATGAAATAGTGGGGAATAGTAAAAAAAAAAAAAAAAATCATTATTATTTCTTATAGTTGTAAAAAACATGTGAACAGAAAACTCATAAAATTCAGATATTAAATAACGTCACAAATAACTTACAAAGAAAAATCTAAATCTCCCTGTTTCAAAGAAATGAATTATACAATAAAAATTTCAATGTGTTATTTAAAATAGATATTTTTTGAATTTAATTTAAATTAAAAATTAAAACCTTATAAAAATTAAATAGAAAGTAGTTTCAATTAAAAAAGACTCCCATGTCTACACCATGATAAGTTTGAATATTGTTTCCTACTTAAAATTTTAATTACTTCATAATAGAAATTTATAAATAAATTTAATGGTATTTATAATTATTATTAATTATATATAAAAATAGTAATAGAATATAATAAAATTATTAATTATAATGAATTTTTTATTCTTAGTTTTTTTGATTTATTTTTTAGTTCTTGAAAATTAATTAAAGATACTTTTAAAATATTTTCTGGTGATAAAATAATTACAAAACTTCTCTATGTAATAAACTTCTATTAGCTTAAATAAACTCGTTTTAGTTTTGTAAATAGATATACAGATAGTGGTCAAATTTAGACCAATTACAATCTTGATGATTTTATTTTTAAAGCTTATTAATCTATTTGATGTATAATAGTTATAAGATATAGTTTTATAATGAAAATATGGTTTAAATTTATATAATAATTAATCTAACTATTTTTTTACTTAGATACATTAATAATTAGTTTTAATACTAAATATACTCAAAAATATATTGCCACTTCAATCATCTAACAAAACTATTAAATCAATAAATTTTGTAAATTTTTTAATTATTAAAAATTTATATTGATTATAAATTAAAAAATATTTATATATTTAAAAATTAAAAATTATAAAAAATTATATATTAAAATATGGATAAATATTTTTTATAAATTATATTACAATAGAATTTTTTTACTATTTTTTTTTGCATATTAACCTATCAACATTAACCTTACAAGAAATTTCAACTGTATATTAATTTAAAATATCTAATATTATTGTATATTTTTAGCTAAAGTGCCATCTACTTTAATGGTTTTAAAGCTACTTATTTTATTTAATTAGATAGTTTTAATAATATATGATATTTTATATATTTTACTACTTTAATTTATTATGAATTTTTTTCTTCTTTTTTTTCCCTACCTATTTAGATAATTAAAAATATATAATTAAAAATAATTTAGTACTATATAAAAAATATAAATTTTTTGCACTAGCTAAATTTTTTATTATATTATTTTTACTTATATAAATCATACTATATTTTAATATTATTTTTTTTAAAAAAAAGATTTAATTATAATTTTAACTATTTCTGATGAATTTAAGTATTTTATGTTAATGTAAGATCATTAAAAAAATAAAAAAATTCTTCTTGTTCATCTTCTAATATTGACTCTTATATTATTTCTTATATTTAATGATTACTTAGTGATGCAACCGAACTAGTAACACATTCTAATAGTTTTTAATTGGATAAAAAAAAATTGAAATTATTTAAATATTATTAAATTAAAATTAATATTAAGTAATTGTAATTTATTTAGGAGGATTTAGAGTTTTATATAAATAGAATAAGTGAAATCTTTTACATGAATAAAATTAGAAATTTTATTTTTAATACGATTGCAATCCAATTTTAATAAATCTCCTTAATTTGGTGCCTATTTTTTTATTTAATTTTCTTAATTAAGACTAAAAATTATAAATCATTAGCATAATAATAAAAAAATGTTGTATATTGTATTTGATTTTTTTAAGAATTAGCAAATTTTGATTATAGGATAAATTTATAATTTTAAAATTTAAAATAAAGTAGTAAAAATAGTAAATTCTTTTCTAAGAAGGTAACTAAATTTAGATCCAGCAAATCAAATAGCTCAACATATCTAAAATATTATGAAAAATAGCTTATGACATCTATATTTTATATTTTTTTTTCTTATTTTTTGATTAATGATTTTTTAAGGGTTATTTTTTACTAAACTGATTTTCATCATTTTTTATTTGAGAAAAAATTAAAATGATGTAAACATATGTCTTATTAATTAAATTTACTAATTAAGTATAAAATATTATTATTTTATAAATCTAATCAAAAGTAATAAATTCATATTGTTTTTAAGTTAATTAAGGAATATTTTCTTAAACCAATTTTTACTTCCTGTACTTTTAAAATATACAATAAATAGTTTATATTAAAATTACTATTTAATTTTTTTAAAAAACCATTACTCTTTATGCCATTTCACCATTTTTCAAAATAATAGTGAAATTTGTGTTAGATTTGGTTGATTTTTGTTTTCTGTTTTTTTTATTTTTTATTTTTATTTTTTAAATTTATAAAATTTATAAATTCACCTCTATTTCAATTATAGCATGTGTTTTTTATTATTTTATAATTGGTGAAGACATTCTTTAAATAAATTCAACATATAAAACTGTTAATTTAGAATTATCAACTTTTCTTTTTATGCTGGTTTATTAATATTTTTTTCTTTATAATGTATGATTTTAAAATAAAATTTTAACATTTATCATTACTTTGATCCTTTAGATAGATAAAAATTTTAATTCTAAATTTTTAATAAAAAATCTATAGAATAAAAAACTGAAGTTTTTACTTGTATATTACAAAGTGTTTATAAACAATAATATCTTTTATTATAATAAAAAGTACATCTATATTATTATGTGATAACATTTTATTTTTAACTCTTGATTAATGAGATTATTAGAACTTTTAAATCACTTTTAGATATATTATTACTAAATATATATACCTCTTAAGTACCTAATTGTAATCTTAATCCATTTACAATTGTTTTTAATATCAATGGTTATTTTGAAAATTTTAATAATATTTTATTTTTAGAAAATAAGTATATATATAAATTTTAAAAATACATATTTCTATATTCTTCTATTTATTTTTTAAATTTCATTGGTCATTATTAAATAACATAGTATTTGAATCTAAATTTTCATTGAATAATGCAACTTGTGGAATATATTCTTTAGGTGTTAATATTTTAGAACTCATATCTTGAACCTCAAATCTTAAAGTTCTACATACATATATATATATATATATACACACACACACACACATACATATGTATTTCTTGATATGTTATAATTTAAAACGTAACAAATTAAATAAATATTATAAATTAGATTTAGATTTTTTATGTTTTATTTTCTTTATAAAATAATATTTTAAAAAAACTATTCATATTCTCAAATCTCTTATCTAATTCCTATTTTTTATTCTCTTAATGTAATCCAAATACACTTTATATGCATTTTTATTTTTTTAAGTGATATTTTATGCAAACATTAGAATTTGTTTTTTCTAAACATATTACAAAAACTTATTGTCTTCA